GCTCCAGCGGGGAAGCAGTCCGCACCCCTGAACTCAGTGTTCGAGTGATGCTGCCCGCGTGACAGCAGTCTAGAATGAACGTAATTCGATGCCCTTTCGAACGGGAGATTTGGGAGAGTATGGTATTGAGCTCCCGGTCGGTGATATCGGGAATGAGCACGCCACCACTGTCTCGAGTATTTCGATCTATGGGACAAAGCGCCTCAACGAATTTGCGAGACCGTTCATCATCGGGTTCCTCGTCGAAATCAGGATCGTCGTCATCGTCTGACAATGGGTAGCGGGAGCCGTGTCCAGCGAAAAAGATAATGATAGGATCACCACGTTCGATGTTAGGGTTGGTGATGAGACTGAGAAGCACGGATAAAATGTTTGCACGGGAAGGGATGGAGGAAACGTCAGCCGGCGTGTCGTGACCCTGGTCTGTTGGACCAAGAAGACTTTGGATTCGCTCTCTAGGCACGAGGAGGTCTTCGACAAAGTGCTGCTTCATTGCTAAGGCATCTGCCACACAGCCGCGCAATGGGTTGGATGGATATCCGTCGATCCCAACGAGAAAAGCCCAAACTCGACTGGGGTCAAGGCGCAGCCGTGACTACATTGCTCTTTATCAGTAATGTCTTGAAGCCAATGGAAGTAAGTTTAGACTTACATCTTCCGCCTGTGCGGTTGTTTCTTGAGGCAAAGGATACTGAGGTACTCTCTGCTCAGATTTGAGGTGAATATGGGGAGTGCTGTTGAGACCCGCTCTCGGCGTTGATGCAGGATCGACGTCACCATTACATTGGGCTTTTGATTCTGCTTCCAACAAGGATTGTGCGAGATCGGCCATTTTGTACTCTTTTGTCGGAAGCGCTCCGAGTTCTTCGGGTTTGAGGGAACCCGTGTCTTCGGCGATTGGTCCTAGTGCTGATGATATGGAATGCCTAAACAGAGGATATTGGGGATAGTGTCGTTAATGCAAAGATATGCATAAATATGCGCCTTTGTGGTCCGCACCGTAAAGTGTGGTAGAATATCACAGTGGATCGCGACTACCACTATTTCCACGTATATCTCGCTGGGAAGAATGTAAACTGATGGTAATGACTATAAGAAATATACTCTACACTTTATAGCCTCGCTGGATGTGGTGAGAACGGCACGTCATGACATCGACCGCACATACAACGATCCCAACGATCCGTCGAGCCAACGGGTCTCTAGGCAGAATGAATCAACCTTTCCAGACATCTGCACCGTGTCAGTAAGGAAATTGCAATTTAACACGGGTGACATACTTTTGAGTTTGACGGGGTTAGGGAAGACGGGCAATCCTAGTTGCCTATGTCCATCTTCGCTGACTGTCCTTGGATACAGTGTAGATCCCTAATCTTTGTTTACAGTATTGTCCGGTCTGGACTCCATTGGATGGTAAATTCATTACCTGGGGCCACCAAGCGCAATCCCGAAAATTATGAACTCGTGGAGTGGCGTACCTCGATTTTCTCGCTTTCTATCCGAGATGCAAAGGGCTTATTCAAGATATGAAATTTTTTAAGCTTGTAAAAGGATTGAATGTACCTTCAACCAGTTGGTGGCCCTTATGTTCGTTTTCGCCGAATCTAGTCGTCCTCGGAATGGTCTCCGATTCATATCCTTTCACTGATTTCCAAACTTAACACAAACAGCAAAGTTCCGATCAGTTGTATTATCAGGCTGGATTTCCGTCGTATGAAAATAAAAATAAAAATGTAAAAGAGGCAATAATGTGTATGTACATCGGCTGTCCATGTTTTTTTTTTGTACCGATTGCCTAAACTCTAAAACTCTAACTCTACAGCCTACGTACCACATACCGGGTTCGTAAATCGCGACGGTGTGCTTCTAAAGCTGCATTGGACTGAGTAAGGGCAGACCCGAATTGAACAGGCTTGAGGTTGGTCGATCCAACACGTAAAAGGACCGACTTTGGAAGTGAACCAATACCAATGCAACCGACTCAACATTGCAAAATTTCCTTCAAACACGAGCGGTTGACAGCATTATCGCGGGAGTGCGAAGCACTTTGAGCATTGCCGAAGTTCCCAAAGACTTCGGTGGTTGCCGATCTAAGGTGGCTTGTGGGGTTGTTTGTTGACAATTTCGGGACAGCGTGCATCGTACGGATATGGCCGTAGACCGCACAAAAAATCTTGCTTACGGTACGGTACGGCTGATGCCGAATCCGTATCGTGTTCGTGCCGTTGTCTGTATACGGACAGTTTCACAAACGACAGCGAATATCTGTCGTCAAAATGTGAGTGTGATTTGCTTCATTAAGGTCATATTTACTGACCTCGATGGCGTTCAGTGGTACCTTACTATTCCCTCGACAACCATACTTCAACCGTATGAACACGACCGTATTTTCGGTCGTTGAAGGTCCTCGCGGTACAGACCCGTATCCATATCTGCGGTACGTAGCCACCGTAGTACGGGTACCGTGCACATCCCTAGAACTTGACATGCAGACGCTCTGAAGCTAAGCCTGTTATGTAGAGAAGGGGACATGTTTGAATGCGGGTCTCGTTGACGCCTTCTGCTCTAGCACCATTCCGGCACGGCCTGTGATCATCCCTAAGAGTATATCAGGTTAGTCATTCTTTGGAACTTACTCTGCACTCTGTAAGCTGTACGACTTCTGAAACCTACTCTGCACCGCATTTTCGCCAGTATGTTGTGTGCGGTAGCAAATGCCTATCGCCACAATCATAACGTTGTTGCTCGAGTATTGGCGACCTGCTTAAGAATACAAGATGATTACCTATTCATGCCCTTCTATCTATATTATAAGAAAACGTCACGACAGGAAAGCTGAAAATGGATTGACAGCGCTAACATGAACCCGCAATCCAGATTCAGTCGATAGAAGATGTTAGAAATGAAACTAATAATGTATGCCCCGATATATTCTTCTGTGCCGCCACCGCAGCATCTTTGAACCGCGTCGAAGGCAAGAGTCATAATCATTTGTTGGCCGCCCGCAGCTGCCTCCACGCGGCGTGAGAACTGGTTTCGTTCCTGCATGAATTCCTCCTATTAGGGAAGGGGTAGACATCCCGAGAAGGTGTGAGGAATACAGGCGAATGCGGACCAACGTGAGTATTCTGTGCGTCATAGGAGGAATGTTCTTTGACTCCGTAGAGGCAACAAAAAGATGAGGAGATATAACGAACCGAAGCCATGAATGGGGTCAGTCTATTCGATCTAAAAGACAGTGTGACGCAGGTTCCAGGGTCAAGAAGAAGTCGGAAGAATGACTGACAAGGATCAACGCCTCTATTGTTCCTTGGCACAAACCCTCCGACAAAACAATGAATAGACGAAGTTGTCAAGTGTGACTTGATCTTGAGTCCGGATGTATTGCTAACAGGAACGGGGTCGCGAGGAATAGAGTTAATTATAGGACGAGCGGGGAGTTCCAACGTAACCTCGCTTTAGATTTGTTACTGTAGATGCCTACACAAACCCTTGCGCCATCTCCGTCTAACTGCAAGCCTCCAGACAACAAGAGCGTCGGGTGCGAAGTTAAAGCGACATAGCATTTATTCGAGTCAACGTCCCGACCCAAGGATATACATCTGGTTACTATAGGATGAGTTCCAAAATGTCCACCTATCAGCGCGCAGATATAATATCCACCGAGTTACAACAAAGCCATGCTGTAGGAACCTGCACAGAACGTAGCTTCTAGGAGCAAAAGGGGCGGTCCAAACTCTATGGCTCAGCGCTTAGCGCTCATTGACAGTTCTTCCAAATATGATGTGATTAAGAACAAGATATAACACAAACGGCTCCGTACTAGAAATGGCAAGTTTAGATATAGCCGAGTGTTGCAAGACCTCTCACGCCGAAAGAGGTCATTCCCCCTTGATGCGTGAAATTCTCCTTTCGTTATTGTTCATCGGACGATAACAATTAATATTTTTCTGACTTGTTGCTTTAGAATTAGCAGTGTTTGGTCACTAATAGCATTCACTAAAAAGTATGCGAGCTCTATGTGCATCACACGAGGGGATTCAGATGATGCGAGTAGACAATGAGAATGGAATGGCGAAACAACAGAGCGATATCGAGAGTAAGGGATAACCTCCCGAGACGTCCACCTAATCTGCCGCCGTAAAAAATACACACCACGCGGCAGAGATGCCCAACGTCACAAGGATATTCTCGAGAGGCTAGCGTTTTAACGCCAGCAAGATGAGATTGGGCAACGTGGGAAGCGCACTAGGCACGTGTATGCTGCCGTCGTGTCCCTCCAAATACCCATCGTTCTTGAATGGATGTTGTTAGTAAAAGAGCGTGTATGCACCACGTTCTATATTATTGACAGGCAATAGTTCATCAGATGGGCATAATCGATTTGATGAAACCGGCAATGTTTGCTTATTGGGAGTCTGTGGAGGTAGGAAATACCGGTGGGTGCTGTACGATCGACACGTTCTACAGAAGAATATTGTGGAAGCGGGAATGGAAAGCTGGAAAGCTGGAGAGGACAAAGGGGGATGGATGGAGGGTGTACGCACCTTGTACATGTCTTCTCCATGTCATGGCTCATTTGAGGCGCAACCATAGAGACAGAGAGCATCTTTGTCCACACTGGCTCTTGAGCTGGAATATGCAGTGTCTTCCGGAGTACTAGGAGGATTGAGCTGGTAGGGAGGTGATGTACAGCGGATATGGGTCCCTACCGTGAGCACCTTCGACGATCGAAAATACAGCCATATTATTGAGGGAATGGTAGGGGATCGTTGAATGCCATCGAGGTCAGTAAATATGACCTCAATGAAGCAAATCGCCTTCATATTTCAATGACAGATACGGTATGGATTTGGCATCAGCTGTACCATAAGCAAGCATTTTTGTGCAGTCTACGGCCATATCCATAACGTCCCTATTCCTTGGTGAGAAGAGGAGGTAAAACATGGTGAACATGGGTTGAACGCGAGCAGAGAAGGATGGGATTACATGGGAAGGGCGCATCAATGAGGTAGTGGTAACCTGGGTCGTTGCCATATGATTGTCAAATACTTGCTATCGACCCACCGGGGGTTCAATTCCCCTTTGATGCATTCCTTTATAGATTCAGAAAGTTACTTTTTATCGTCAACTGATGAACAATCACTCCAAGTTCGGTTCAAGGCCAGCAACCGCTTTGATAGTCGGGCCTCGGTTGTTATGTCCGAGTCGCACGAGGGGAGTTGTAATACAAGGTGTGAATGGTGTACAACGTATGTGAATATCAAAGAACAGAGCATAGAATCGCCACCACGGCAGATATCGCCAAACAAGGACGATCCCTAGATCTGGGCATGGGAAGAAGCGCTATGCTTGTTCTATTGGTATAGCACCCTTGTTCTTGAATGGAGCTTTGCTTGCTGCGGGGCTGGGATGTGCGCACTGCCAACGTCCAGATCAGATGGCCAAGACTGATTCAGTCTAAGGAGCATTTGCTTGTTGGGAGCTTGCGTCGGAGCAGCATGGAACGACGAAGATGGATTCCACGGTCTGCTCCCTTTTGAAACGGAGCTAAGCACCAGGGATTCGAGCTGCAGTTCATGAAGATGACGTATGATCGACACTATAAAAAAAGGTTCCGCGGGAGCAAATTACAGTGAGAGAAGGGGAGGGGCTGGAGAGGGAGAGATAGGACAATGTTAGATCTGCGCAAAAGGAGATAGAGGGTGTAACGCACCTTATCCTTCTCCATGCCCTACAGGTGTACTGCTGTATCTGCCGTAGTCGTAGTCCTTTGCCCTTACTGTTGGATAGGCGGTGTCTTCCGGAGTAGGACGTGGGGACTCGGGTCCCTAACCACGTAAGGATCTACATCGTAAAAAAAAGGTTCCGCGGAAGCAAATCGCAGGCAGAAGAAACGCAAGCTGTGTATTGTCCTGGACGTGGCGTAGAATCACACACTGCATTGAGGAGGCAAAGTAGCAATATTAACAAGTGAAAGCACATATAAAGACAGTAAAATAGAAGCGAGGTGTCGGAATTGCAACGTCAAAATTACAATAGGAACATCACCTGACCTAGCAATTGCTGCCCCAAAATTACCCGGTATGTAAATTGATGGGCTACGTACAAAAGCAAACAAACCAATTATCTCCATATATAGTAAAAAACGGATTGGCTGTTGGACGCGATTGGTTTGAGCAGACGGGGTATATAATCCCAGGGGAGAGACGGTTTGCTGCCAGAAACCTTTCCCCGCTACACAATGATTGGCAAACGCAACGCCTCCAACGCTGAAAACATCCCTATTCGCCGGACCTCTACTACTGGCAAACACGTAGCAGCCACCAAGGCCCTATCAGCCCCCCTCCACAAGCGGAAACGTGCCGTCGCCAAACCTGGGCACATAGTCTTCGACGTGAAAACGTACTGTGCTTCCAAAGAGACGCTCATCACCGTCCAGCTCGCGTCCAAACTCAGACAACCCACATACGCTCTCCCCGAAGCGTCCACCCTCTTCGCACGGGACACTATAGCCAAGGAGTACGGCGTGCGGTTGTTTTACACGCTGTCACTCCTCGCACCGAGTACCCCACCCAAAGACTCACCTATCCCCGTGACTTACCCTGTCTCTCTTCCTCCGAATGCACCCGCAGAAGGCCCCTCTTACTTCCTCGGCGTCTTTGCACCCAACTCTACCAAAGTGACTCTCCATCCAGCGCACCACGAAGTCCTCGCTGCTCACTGTCCGCGTTTACCCGCTACCATCCAGTCATCACCAGCAGGGCCTCAGATCCCCGTGCACCCCCTATGCCTGCCTGATCCCCAGTCGTACGCGCTCCTCAGTCAGTACATGTACACTCACCGCCAGGACCTCCTCCTCGCGTCCCTCCTCCCGCTCGGTTCCCTCCCTTCCAATCCCTTCCCCACCACTGCCCATCTCTCGTCTTCTCCGAAAACCGCCGTGTCGATCCACCCTCAGGTCCTCGCCCTCGCAGAGTCCCTCGCGAAGGATTTCACGCAGCATAAGCTCCTTGGCGGGTTGTCGACTGTTCATGGGTTATGGAAGAATATCGTGGCATTGGGTGTTGATGATGATGGGTTGTGGCAAGTCATCCATGCCGCGTGGGCCATTTACTTGACAGCGGCCGGTTGGACGGATGGCCGTCTCCATCTCAAAAAGGGCGAGCTTATCCCTGGCTATCAGTAATTCCTATGCGTTTATGCTCTCGATATTGCTCTGTTGTTTAGTTTTCCATTCGCTCTCTTCATTGCATATGCTGTACACCATTCGCATTTACTTATTACTACTTATGATATATGGATAGAAGAATATGACAAACTTGTACTATAATCCTGAGCTCGACTTGCTGCATTGACTTTTAAAGTGGTCGTCAAGGCTAGGCACTGCATCATTAGACAAAAGTGAAAAGCAGATCTTGAATATGTTATACATCGGAGGGGAATCGAACCCTCGGCGGGTCGATAGCGATTATTTAGACACACATATGGCAACGACCCAGGTTACCACTACCTCATTGATGCGCCCTTCCCATGTAATCCCATCCTTCTCTGCTCGCGTTCAACCCATGTTCACCATGTTTTACCTCCTCTTCTCACCAAGGAATAGGGACGTTATGGATATGGCCGTAGACTGCACAAAAATGCTTGCTTATGGTACAGCTGATGCCAAATCCATACCGTATCTGTCATTGAAATATGAAGGCGATTTGCTTCATTGAGGTCATATTTACTGACCTCGATGGCATTCAACGATCCCCTACCATTCCCTCAATAATATGGCTGTATTTTCGATCGTCGAAGGTGCTCACGGTAGGGACCCATATCCGCTGTACATCACCTCCCTACCAGCTCAATCCTCCTAGTACTCCGGAAGACACTGCATATTCCAGCTCAAGAGCCAGTGTGGACAAAGATGCTCTCTGTCTCTATGGTTGCGCCTCAAATGAGCCATGACATGGAGAAGACATGTACAAGGTGCGTACACCCTCCATCCATCCCCCTTTGTCCTCTCCAGCTTTCCAGCTTTCCATTCCCGCTTCCACAATATTCTTCTGTAGAACGTGTCGATCGTACAGCACCCACCGGTATTTCCTACCTCCACAGACTCCCAATAAGCAAACATTGCCGGTTTCATCAAATCGATTATGCCCATCTGATGAACTATTGCCTGTCAATAATATAGAACGTGGTGCATACACGCTCTTTTACTAACAACATCCATTCAAGAACGATGGGTATTTGGAGGGACACGACGGCAGCATACACGTGCCTAGTGCGCTTCCCACGTTGCCCAATCTCATCTTGCTGGCGTTAAAACGCTAGCCTCTCGAGAATATCCTTGTGACGTTGGGCATCTCTGCCGCGTGGTGTGTATTTTTTACGGCGGCAGATTAGGTGGACGTCTCGGGAGGTTATCCCTTACTCTCGATATCGCTCTGTTGTTTCGCCATTCCATTCTCATTGTCTACTCGCATCATCTGAATCCCCTCGTGTGATGCACATAGAGCTCGCATACTTTTTAGTGAATGCTATTAGTGACCAAACACTGCTAATTCTAAAGCAACAAGTCAGAAAAATATTAATTGTTATCGTCCGATGAACAATAACGAAAGGAGAATTTCACGCATCAAGGGGGAATGACCTCTTTCGGCGTGAGAGGTCTTGCAACACTCGGCTATATCTAAACTTGCCATTTCTAGTACGGAGCCGTTTGTGTTATATCTTGTTCTTAATCACATCATATTTGGAAGAACTGTCAATGAGCGCTAAGCGCTGAGCCATAGAGTTTGGACCGCCCCTTTTGCTCCTAGAAGCTACGTTCTGTGCAGGTTCCTACAGCATGGCTTTGTTGTAACTCGGTGGATATTATATCTGCGCGCTGATAGGTGGACATTTTGGAACTCATCCTATAGTAACCAGATGTATATCCTTGGGTCGGGACGTTGACTCGAATAAATGCTATGTCGCTTTAACTTCGCACCCGACGCTCTTGTTGTCTGGAGGCTTGCAGTTAGACGGAGATGGCGCAAGGGTTTGTGTAGGCATCTACAGTAACAAATCTAAAGCGAGGTTACGTTGGAACTCCCCGCTCGTCCTATAATTAACTCTATTCCTCGCGACCCCGTTCCTGTTAGCAATACATCCGGACTCAAGATCAAGTCACACTTGACAACTTCGTCTATTCATTGTTTTGTCGGAGGGTTTGTGCCAAGGAACAATAGAGGCGTTGATCCTTGTCAGTCATTCTTCCGACTTCTTCTTGACCCTGGAACCTGCGTCACACTGTCTTTTAGATCGAATAGACTGACCCCATTCATGGCTTCGGTTCGTTATATCTCCTCATCTTTTTGTTGCCTCTACGGAGTCAAAGAACATTCCTCCTATGACGCACAGAATACTCACGTTGGTCCGCATTCGCCTGTATTCCTCACACCTTCTCGGGATGTCTACCCCTTCCCTAATAGGAGGAATTCATGCAGGAACGAAACCAGTTCTCACGCCGCGTGGAGGCAGCTGCGGGCGGCCAACAAATGATTATGACTCTTGCCTTCGACGCGGTTCAAAGATGCTGCGGTGGCGGCACAGAAGAATATATCGGGGCATACATTATTAGTTTCATTTCTAACATCTTCTATCGACTGAATCTGGATTGCGGGTTCATGTTAGCGCTGTCAATCCATTTTCAGCTTTCCTGTCGTGACGTTTTCTTATAATATAGATAGAAGGGCATGAATAGGTAATCATCTTGTATTCTTAAGCAGGTCGCCAATACTCGAGCAACAACGTTATGATTGTGGCGATAGGCATTTGCTACCGCACACAACATACTGGCGAAAATGCGGTGCAGAGTAGGTTTCAGAAGTCGTACAGCTTACAGAGTGCAGAGTAAGTTCCAAAGAATGACTAACCTGATATACTCTTAGGGATGATCACAGGCCGTGCCGGAATGGTGCTAGAGCAGAAGGCGTCAACGAGACCCGCATTCAAACATGTCCCCTTCTCTACATAACAGGCTTAGCTTCAGAGCGTCTGCATGTCAAGTTCTAGGGATGTGCACGGTACCCGTACTACGGTGGCTACGTACCGCAGATATGGATACGGGTCTGTACCGCGAGGACCTTCAACGACCGAAAATACGGTCGTGTTCATACGGTTGAAGTATGGTTGTCGAGGGAATAGTAAGGTACCACTGAACGCCATCGAGGTCAGTAAATATGACCTTAATGAAGCAAATCACACTCACATTTTGACGACAGATATTCGCTGTCGTTTGTGAAACTGTCCGTATACAGACAACGGCACGAACACGATACGGATTCGGCATCAGCCGTACCGTACCGTAAGCAAGATTTTTTGTGCGGTCTACGGCCATATCCGTACGATGCACGCTGTCCCGAAATTGTCAACAAACAACCCCACAAGCCACCTTAGATCGGCAACCACCGAAGTCTTTGGGAACTTCGGCAATGCTCAAAGTGCTTCGCACTCCCGCGATAATGCTGTCAACCGCTCGTGTTTGAAGGAAATTTTGCAATGTTGAGTCGGTTGCATTGGTATTGGTTCACTTCCAAAGTCGGTCCTTTTACGTGTTGGATCGAGATTGAACAACCAACATACAATCAGCTACATATTCCAACTGACTCAACACTGCACATCCGGTCTACACTTTTGGAATCTTATATGAAGACCAAGATTTCCGTTAAATTTGGAAACAAGTTGAAGTGCAAAAGTAAGAGAACTTTTCTAGGATATTGAAAATCAACGATGAATGACATGATTAGATCAAAGCGAAAGGGCCATCAATAATTGGTTGACTATACCCAATGTTTTCACAAATTTACAAAAAGTTATGTCTTAAATGAGCCGAGCTCCTTGCGAAGGAAGGCGCAAAAAATCCGAGTCAAGGTGCCACTATTCCGATCACCTGATAACTGAATGAAGATTGACAAAACAGACTCAGGTTTAAACCAACAACTTTGTTGGTTACTCCACCCATATCACTAGCCACCAGGGAAAAGACCGCAAGATCGGAATGTGTCATAATGTTCAAAACACGTTATAATAGACATAATCTGCTGTAACAGATTGCAACGGAAACTCGCACATTAAAATATATTACAATTTTATCACAATATTGTGTTAACATCCCAGGCCTACCGTAACTCATAACTAACAGTTATGTTTAGCTGCAATGTGCTGCAAATTATCCATGGAAGAAATAGGAAAAATCATACATGATTTTCATATATTGCGACCTTTAAATACATATATCCATAAACAATACATCCCAGGACAACCAACAACTCGGAATAAAAGTCGCCCTCCCTCCCTCACCTGAAGCTGCATAGTCAAAATGATGCACCGCAGTTGGGTTTGTAAGATGATAATCCATGGACCGGCCCTCCAACACTTGCCTCACAGTATCCATGGCTAGAAAAAGAGGACAAGGATGAGTCTTTGGATGGGGCACAATATTTAGGTAACGTACGCTACAACCATGGCAGTGAGAGTCTGGCTGGCGATTATGTTTCATATATACCTGTAGAGACAATTATTGTAAGGCGTGGCAGAAAAAGAGAGATACACGTACCAGAACAGTGTGAACAGATTTCAACTCAGCGATGAATGGACCGGTGCTAGCCAACAATGGCAATAAGCATAGCGTACCATTCCGAGTCCTATGTATATAGGATTACTCAGTCATTATGCTGTCTTGAACGACCAGTAGGAAAATCTATTTGGCGTATAATCCATCATGGCTTTCACTGGAATAGCTACCTGAGGATACCGTAGGAACGTCTTTATTCGTTTACGGCCAGCTTGGGCTGTCTCACAATGAACTTTGTATTCCTTCCCGTCTTTTCGTCAATATTTGCGGTCATTTTCTGCATATTCTCTCTCTCTTTCTGCGGCGCTGTTCTCTCCATTCTGTTCCGTTAATTTGTTGTTTTTTTCTTGCTTCGGCTTCGTAGTAGAATGTTATAGGTATGTGTTTGCACCTCCTTTGTTGGGTGTAGCCGTCGCGTTCACAAACACGCCGCCCAACCTTACCATACAGGTAGATATCGACGGCGCAGCCATAATGTATCATCTTGCCGGAATAGTGTATATGGGAATAGCTACTTCACTTTTTGATTCATTGATGCCGATGGAAGCGTACGGTTCAATGACGGTATGGTGAACGGTAGGAACGCCTTACTGGAAGGAACGACGAATAGTGTTGATCTCATGCAAGATGTTTCCGGAAAATCCTGGGAACACTTCATTTACAGACGGATGTGACCCTACTTATCGACTCGACTCGAGGAATGCATAAAATTATACATAGGACTCGGACCTGTCGCGCGTATGCGTTGGCCCTCGCCAACTAGTAATGGCCTTAGCATGAAAACAAAGTCTGTTCTCTTTCGCTTCCGCCTGTATGACTCTGGACCTTCTGTCTTGCCACATTGTCTTGTAATGTGATGATGTTTTTTTTTCTTGCATCGTTATATATTGCCACCGCTAGGAGATGCAGTGAC